TTCCAAAAACTCACCTCTGTGAACGACCATTCGTGACATTTGAAAGCATAGTGTAATGAGTAAATTGCCATTTCTCCAAAATATGAGTTTTCGGTTCCTAAAGCCTAATAGGCAAACATTTAACTTTACATAACTCTTATGGAAAAGTATGGCGATGACCATGCATAGAAGTTCTTGTAGACATTAAGAGCTTTACTTTTAAGGAATAGGTTTTTCTTCGCGCATTATGCGACGATCTCATCTGCACAAAAACACGCAATAAATGGTCTTTACGGGGGCAATTTATTCGAAGATGCCGACGGTTGACCAGCCAAAGTCCCAATGATGGGGTATAAGTTAATGAGCAGTGAACTCTACCAAACACACAATGATTGAGGTGGCTAGTACCATTACGTTTGTGGTGAGTCAGGCCAAACTGGGGGTGACTCTTCTATTAGTAAACGGCGATAATAGGATAGAATATGATTTTGTAAATAATGGCGACGCAAAAAGTCACAGATTTAGTTCTCCGATGAATAAGCAACATCATCTATTCTGAGTAGCCGAATTTGAAAAAAAGTATGATATCCTCACTTGTGGGCCTTCATAATTCACTGTTGTGCCTTTTACTCAGCAATCGTCGGTCATTTTCAAGCTGGCCCTGTGTCTCCCATTTTTGTAGCTGTTTGTCGTTTCGTTGGTGGTTGTCGCCTGAGCAGTGAATCGCTTGGCTAAAATTGCCTGCAATCCTTTTACGGAAGGCTGACTGTAGATTACAGTCAGTGGTATTAATTGCAGTTCTACTTCGGGATAAACCAAACTCAAATGGTGGTTCTGTATATCTACCTTGAAACTTGAAGAAAGCCCTGGGACTGAGACAATGTCCAACTGTCCAAGTCTGGGTCGGAGTAATGAGAACAGCCACGGCTTTATGTGAGGCCAGATCTTTGGTTAACAGTTTCACATCTCAACAGCTGAGTTCATTTTAAAAAAATCATTGCTAGCCCCACGCTAAGAGCGTATCCGTTTCCTTGTGGTTTTTAAGCTTCTGAGCAGTTTGCTTGTTTATCGTTTAGTTTTGTATTCTGAGCATGCGAATCCTTCCAAGTAGCTGCAAGCACAATCGTCAGCGGTGAATATGTTATGTCAGAGTGTTTACTTTGATTCCGAATGTTGATTTGGTTAGGCCCTCAGTCGGCCCGTTTGCGGAGTAAATTGAAACAAGAAAGAAACACGCAAAGGGGATTTTCAGCCTCATTCACTCGGTGAATGTAAACATTCACAGCACGAATATTGTGGTAAAAAAAGCCCGGCTAAATTAGAAATTTTATGCGTCAGTCTCTGCCAATTTCAATTTTATCCTTCGCGTTTTCTGTTTGTTGAAATCTTTCAGGCATACCGTAGCATCCAAAGAACCTGAAGTGAGCTGAAGCAATCAAAGAGTAAAATATAAATTTCCTTTGAAAGTAGCTCCATTAGATAATACGGTATTGCGTGTATCACATCCACAAAAGAGATGAAGAACACACAAGGCGTTTCAGGACAGTTTGCGGTGCCTATTTGGGCCATCGTTTTCACAAGATTAACTCAAGTATACTGGCTTAAATGTGTATAAATATGTGGTATTTTTACGGATACTGCGCAAAATGAGCTTTAATACGAACGAAACAGCATTTTTACTGTGTTCCACTACTGAGACACAACAATGTTGTGCGGTCATCAACAGCACTTATTCGCTTGTACTAAGGACTGACGGGCATTTGGTCATATTTTGACTATTGCTGAATGTTGATGAACTCACTGGTTCCAGTTAGTTTAAAACAGCGGCTAAAAACAATGAGAAAACCAAAATGGGATAACTACAAACCTGGTTTATGCAGTGAAGTATCTTGGTGTCACTGCTCATTTTAGCCGGCCTTCGGTTCATCATTCTTCGTGAATCTGCCTCATTGTAATCGCACTGTTGGATCACATAATCCTATTTGCGTTGCCAAATCCCTTCAGGAAACGACACTCATGAAACCACCATGACACGGCATCAAGATCCCGTTTGCTCTCGCAGTGCACAGGCCTTCTGATCGCATACTTTGACCGGTGGTGCCGGAATAAGTCAAGTCTAGTTTGCCCGGCGGAAAAACCATACGTTTTGTGGAAGGGTCCATCAGTTTCGTTTAAAAAATTGACTGAAACTACGGGGCTATGGCAAAAAACATATTGCATGGCTTGCGCTCCACCTGCTTAGACCTTAGAAGAACCCTTTTGAGATTTTTAGCGAGGCGATTTTCCGTGCATCGTTAATGTACTTCACGCTGACGAAGGGGCTTTCGTTCAGTTTTATCCCCTCCAGCTATTAGTCTGATCGTTTTATTCCGATGCCCTTTTGGCTAAGCAGACCATAAGAGTTAGTCAATTTGTTTCTGTCCCAGTGGTACGTTTGGCCGCTAGGGTTCGCTCAACACACCAACTAAAGTTCACACGTGGATTTTGGAAGTTCTGAACATTAAAAATCTATCAAAAACATCACACCAAAAACTCTACGTATGACAGTTCATAAAGTTCTTATTTATGGTGTCTCGCACGCAGACCTATTCTAAAATAGCCTGATGAATAACTTGAGGAAATAACGAAGTTCTCCGTCATATTTGCTCATAGGTTATGTTGATTCTTGTCTAATTTAAACCTGACCGCTGAAAGCAATTGAAATCTAACTTCGCCAAGATGCTCGAAAGAGAGTGGGACACTTTTAAACCTGTACAGTCATAAGTTAGAGACGGGTCTGGAGGTATCAGCATTAAATTTTCTAGATACCACTTCTTTGGTAAATTCATTCCTCTGCGCAATTTTTTCAGATTAGTCCCACAGTTAAAATTTGTCACTTGATGTCGTCGCTGCTATACCCTCTTTAGCCCTTTTTCGACCCGATCTAATTCGCATGGTGAACGAACACTCTTGGCTAAGTTCTGAATTGTTTACGGTCGGCATAGCCTATTAAGTACTAATCATTCAAATAGCACCTTGACTTCTGGCCGCGTGTTGTTGATATGAAATTGATAGGTTGAATTTGCCTAAAGAAGTTGATGCAGGAAACACTGTATGGCAGGACATAACTGGGCGGATACAGGCCATGATACGCTGTAGCTAGTTTTAATACCAGCGATAACTGTGCGGCCATACGTCTGAATCTGACGAGTTATAACACCACATTAGCCTATATGCAAGTACCTAGAATGGGCAGAAAATTCAGGAGAATAGCAATTCTTAGTCCACTGCATCGACACGAACGAGCAAGCCTTCAAGAGTACAAATTCTTCGAGCATAACACTGTTTCTGTTACCCAAAAGATGATACACATGACAGACCTCGGTGATTACTTATATATGCATGTATACACATAATACGCACATATGTATTTACAAATAGTAACATGCATACAAGCAAGTACATGCTCACAAAATAACTAACTATTTGAAAGGGCTATTTAGCAGCTCTCCAATTGTGAGAAATATTACCTCCATTTTTTGTGATTTCGTTATTAAATACCCTTAGGAAGCAGGAGAACCCTTGGCTACAACAGCCGGTGTAAATGATATGTAGTGTGGATATTTTTTTTACAAAAATTGACTAATGATCAATATTTCCTGAGTAGACAGAGAAAACCTCGCTGGATAACTTAACAAAAAATTACAACTTATCCGGAAGCTTTCCCAGCTGACTTTCTCTGAGCAGAAGCAATGATTGCATCTGACCTCCTTTCTACGGGTTGCACCGATTCAGTCTATTTCAACGGTGAATAAATAAACTCTGTCGCTTACAGTACACTTTTGTTTTCGAACACTTGATAAATTGTATTTATTTTGATGTCAGTGTTGCTTGAATAAATGCGGCTTAAAATCCATCCTGTATGAGCGATCTACAAAGACGTGTATACTCCCCGTTACTTGACAAGCTGATACTGAGCAGTGGTCAACTACTATAAGGTAAAATGACATGAAAGGACCTCCTACTGGTGTCAAAGCTATAAGTTTAGCTTGCTAGTACAAAGAAGTTAATCGTACAATGCAATGGACCAACCACATCTCAAACCCTCTATTACGGCAAATGTCAACATTACATAATATATGCACTCAACCGGTGAAACATATAAAAATACATAGATTTAGCGTGAAATTGACAGAGAAATCATGCGAACAACTTTTCAAACACTGTTGAGCATATTAGAACTGTTGATGGTGGAAAAAATTCAAGGTAAATTGTGAAGGGAATGTACGAGCTCTAGTCGCCAGATTTACTCGAATAATTCAGCTGTCTGAATGGACCGAACTTGCAATCGTAGCTTCTTATTTTAAACTTCATATTCTAGAAGCAAACCAGCCACGGTAGCGACAAATAAGGTGAACAAAATCCTTTAGTTCACGGCATTGCCTGTCTAGAACACCATAGCGCTACCCAAGTTTGGTAGTTAAAGCCAACGCCAAACGCTCTGCGTGCAGACTGCCTTGGATCGGCAAACCCATGTTAAAGCTTGCTAGATGAACGTATTTTGATAGTCAGGCTCTAGATTCTGAGGGGAGTGGCGCCATTAGAGAATAAGTCGGGTGATTTTGGGAGCCAGGAAGCTAAAGTCAGGACCGTCATATAAACATTCCAAAAAAGGGTACTCCAGAGTCAAATTTTAAGGAATTGTTCAGCATTTGACTTCCAAAACATTGATCTGAAAATTAAACTAATGGTGAGACTGACCTTAAGATAACTGAAACTACGTTCTTGCAGATACCTCACTCAAAATGTTCCCATATACACCCCGTATCTCTAGGGTCTCCACCTTTTCTGGCAATAACTCTCTTAACTAGTTAGTGTGGAGCAGTAGCCTATCTCAGCGGCAGATCGGCAAGAGTCAGCTGACATATACTTGTCGGTCGATAAGTCGATAAGTTCAGACAATCGTCGAGGCTAACACAGGCAAACCAGTCAATCGCAACATTCCGGGTTTCTAGTTATCCAGACTAACTTTTCCTGGTAACATGGTAACTCGATCCAATGTGACGGAATATGAACTCAGCCCGTATGAGACGAGTCTCAATGGATTGCCTCCACGGCACACAGCTCGCTTGTTTAATACACATGGTTCGGGGACAATGTCAGATCTGGTCGACTTCAAAAAACAAGCCCGAAAAGTACGTGAGTACAATGAAAAACGACGTTTGAACCCTCTGATTCCTGCTCAGGAGGAACTGCTCTCCCAACTTTATCAAGACCAAGTTGACTTCACCAGAAGATTGGGAAAGTATGTAGCCGCCCATAATCATGCGGTGCAAGCGGCTTTCGCAAAAATGCAGAATTAGAAATTGACAGAACTGTCTTTTCTGACTGATAACGCCTTAATTTCAGTAAAAAAAACATTCATTTACTGAATTTCCGAGGACGCGTTGTTATTTACATTAAAATTCAGTTGAAAAACTATCTTTTTTCCGGGGATCAAAACTGGGTTATCTTTAGCATCGCAGTATTACAAACAGACCAAAATAGAAGATAAGGAACTTCGATTTAGTTCACAATCCAAGCAGCAAGATTTACTGCGCAAGTTTGGGCTCGTAAACCTTTTCTCGTGAGGAGGCAACCATTCACAGAAATCACTTTCGGCTGAATCTTTCAATGAATCTAAGTTTAAGATCCCAGGGAGATCACCTCTTTTTCTTAAACCCATGATTACTCCGTTATGTCGATCAGTATGACCATCGGTTCTTCTTCAATATTTGCCTTACAATAAACAGGGCAAGCTTATGCTCACACGGGTAGAAAGCGGGGGCAAATTCATTTGCTAGTATGTTCAAAAACTAACCGCAGTTTGATTTTAAACGCAGTACTGCATTCTTCTTAGATGAATCTATTTTTGCTCTACAAACTGTGGGAAACATTTTCGGGAAGTTTTAAGGAGCGTTGTACGGGAATTCACATGCTTTCAATTCATCCTGCCAAAAGCTGAACGAAAAATTACAGACATGTATGAGGGCCTCATAAATCTTTCTATACTAATATAGTGGTACTTGCTCAGGTGGCCGTTGATCTGTCCGCCAATCTTGGCAACTGATTTGCAGATGTCTTCTCACCACACGAGGAGACGTTTTCGGTTCGCTGTTGGGTGTAGCTATCCACTGAAAATGGCAGGCCAACAGCACAGTATGATGAATAAGATGATGGGAAATGTAGAATCTTGCTTTCCAGGTTGTTAGTATATAAGGTAAAAATCCTTTATTAAAAAGAACCCAAACCAAAAATTTTTCGGAAGGGTTTGAACTACAGGTCCGTGTCACAGCAGAAAAGATGTTAACAACAAGATGTTCCGCGTGCTCGGGGCACTGAATTTTCGTTCATTGTGCTTGACACATTATACGCAAATCAAACTTTAAAATCATACAATTCCACTCAGTGGATACTGATGGTTTCCGCTGAATCGCAACACTATGCCTTCATTAGCGTCCTTCAAGTGCACAATTTTTTGTAGTCTAAGTTCTATCTTATATCTTTTTTTCCAGCAGAGATTACGTGGCTTCTGGTCAGTAAGGCAGTTGTGTAATAAAAAGTAGGTTGGTCCCATGTTGACTCAGGCACCTTCAAATTAAGGATGCTCGGTCGGTGGAGCAGAATGCACCCTCTTTGGTTCATAAGGTTGACTCGAAAATTATTTGGTCCAACTCTCACACTTTTTGAATTTGTGTTATACGGGTAAACTACAATAGCGAAAGTAGTCCTTCAAAAATTGTTAATCAAACTAATGTATATCATTTGAAGCTCTCATTCATGGCCTCTAAAGTCGAGAATAGGCCTATGGAGCCAGCACCCTTACCGGGATGCTGGAAGGCCAAATTCCCAGGCTAGCCATTTCTAAATGTTTATCGTAATTTGCTTGCTATATCTGCAGAATGACGACCATTTGAGTATCCGCTCATTCTTCTTAGAATTTTGTCAAGCACTAGAAGAACAATCAAGCGATTACGTTAACTTTTCTAAAAAGCTTCATGCACATTGGTCACCATTTTTGTTTTCATTAGGAAAAGGCGAAAAAATTTCCTGTAATGACTAATGGGAACACTGGGACATAGCAAGTCACCTGCATTCCCCGAACACATGTTGGTGCAATGGGTATGGGCACATCACAAGCACTTATGTTGTTCCATTGGTTCAGTCGGTGAGCTCAGTTTCACAATAAGACTTTTGAATAAATCATGGCTGTACGGCAGTGAAGCACCGGTGCTGAACACTGATGTCATGCGTTCGATGATGATGATGGTGATGATGATGATGATGATGAGATGATGATGATGACGATGGTGATGAAACATACACGTGTATACTTAGAAACATGTACAGCTGTCTTACTGTCGAAGTCTTCTGCTCCAATGGGCATTCCATAACACGTTGAAGTGCGATCAGTGAATTATCTACATGTTTTGTTGATGCGTGTTTCTCCATGACTAGGAACAAAACAAGATCATTGCATTTTGAGTAGGCAAACTGACAAAGAGCAATAAAAGCAGCTTATTCTGTCCACAGCTGCAAATTGTAAGAAGCTAACTGGGGTGACAACCCTGTGCAGTAAAGTGTCTTGCCTGTGAATACAGGAGGACGGCATTCTCTGTCTGAAGAAACCATTAGGTGATGCGAAACAAGAGTAATGCATTATGCACAATGTGGACTTTCTATCGGAACGTGCCTAACGGACCCAACAGAAAGTGACCCCTTTTGAGAACAGACCATTCGAAATGATCTGCATGTTGTTTGACGCCTCTGTTTTTTTTTCGAAAAATGTACAGGAGTCGCATGTAGACAGTCAATTTTGTCGCTATGCTTTTTAGTTTATCAGCCATCATTAAAATAGGGCAATTCGATTTCTCGAAAACGACCGAACGAAAAACTCTTTCGTGAAAAGAAAAGCGAAAGAAAAGCGAAACAAGAGCAGTTGACCCACTCTGTAGAAGAACCATTCTTGCCGTTTGTCTAGTGAAACCACTTCTCATGACTGAACCTCCCACGAAGTGCAACTTATAGCAAGAATACCAGGTTTGGTGAGTCCCTATGGCTTTTAGCCACAGCTTTTAGGCCCGTCCAAGAGGGGGGCGTATTCAAACTGATACACATTCCATAAACTGCTCATACAAAGTTTCTTGCGATTGTCACATAAAACTGAAGACGATCTCACAAATGCCTTCCAGAAAAGAACTTTCTCGCTAGCCTCGGTATACTGTAGCCAGTACGTACATAATTTTAGTGGATGTAATTCCAAGCTCAGTGATCGACTTTACGTTTGCTGTGCGGATATACATGACTTCCAGTCCTTTATTTTACCTGTAAGAATTCCAAAGCATATACCTATCAACTCACTGTTCCTACAAGGCTTCACAGTACGAGGACCTGTAACAAGATGCCTCTGTAGCGGCCACTCACTAAATCACGCGTCACAAATACTCAACTCAAGTAACAATTCCTGTCCCACTAGCCACCTCAGCCGACAACACGTACACTACTATTTTCCATCCAGTTTTCTGTTTACGTAGCTAACATCTGCGTCACGCGCCAGACTTACGACCTTCAACCACATCAGGTCGAGTTGTGTTTATGGCATGCAACTCGGCCCAACACACATACACGCGCTCGCACAGGACAGGAATTTAGCCGAGCTCCACAAGTTGCAATCGCAACTACGGAACACGTGTAGCAGCTGTTCTACAGAAAAGATACGTCCCGCGTGAGGAATTTTAATCAGGAACTCGCAAAAGTTGCCCTCGAAAGATAAGTCACTTTTTGGCTTATCCTCGTCTTGCATCGTATTTATTTTTACCAAGTGAATATAATTTTTGTAATCATCATCACTTTGGTATAACCGACATTTGTTAGTAATAATCAGCCTGAGTACTTTACAACCAGATCACTCACCCTTCCGAAATGCTCCAATTACCAGGTGGGATGTCTTTACCTCGGCAAGCAGCGGTGATGTTTTCAAAGTGATTTCCAGGCATTGAGTTTCTGCGTGAGAAACTTTCCACTACCTTTTTTTCACAAAAGAAACTACTCACAAGGTTGCTGAAAACCCTTCGCCAGCCCTCGACCGGTTTCGCCCTTTTTGGGGCCCTTCTTGAGTCTCCCGTGAAAACCAAATTGATTTGCAAATGAGTGTATTTCTCTCCACTACCTGTTTTGCAGCACATTGAAGTTTTTAACATTTCTGTTCATATCTGTTCATTAACCCTCGACATTAAACTGTTGCAGTACCGAGTGACTCCGGTAGTTTCTTTCATTTACAAACAACAGAGACTTAATTTTTGAAGGCAAGGGATTACATCCTTTTATTGTTTTCCGGACGAGCGCAAACTTCGAACTTCCAGCTGATCCCGCACCTGGTCACTCACTCCCCGATGTTAGCCAAGAGCATTTTCTGAGATTTGTGCTGCAAACTGTAGCCCACCGTGTTTCAGTTTTCAATTTTTTTTAACGTTCCCAGTTTAATTCTAAGGAGGGTATTGGATGTGAACCGTGGAAATCTGAACGCTAAAATGAAGAAACGCCTCTGGAACAAGCAGCTTGTAAGGAGTAAGCTGACTGCTTGAATCGAAAATGATAGCGACTGTTAAGAATGGGTAGCTTTGGAGGAATAGAAAACAAATCGGGGTCTGGGACCTGGGCGTATCTGTAATGGAGAGAAATAAAACCACTTGTCTCCAAAAGTGTTATGAAACTGAGCTAGACTAAGGCATTAGCTTCCATTTTGTAGAAAACAAGCAAATTGTTTGTAAACCGGGAGGATATCATGAATGAAAACTGAAGAACGGTAGACATTTTGGGGTAAGAGTTTGTCGAGATACCACAATGCCTCATCTCAATGGACGTATTCACTACATCAGAGAGAGGGAAACTTAAATCATGAACGGGTCATGGTTAGAATATTTTCCATGTTTGCGAATAAGGAGCAAGACAGTAAAACAGTTGTGAGCGCGCGGGCAAATATTGAGGGGACATATGCATGCGAGCCAGGCTAGGCACAGCAGCGCCATACCATCATTGGACTGTCGTAATTGGGTCCCTGTGTAGTCCCGTAATGGACTGCGTTTGAAGTGGTATGGCACAAGCGTTGAGGAAGGGACCAACCTAAAAAGTTAGTCAAAGGGCTGGGCACGTTGATGTTCTGGTCGATGGAGAGTCGCAGAAGTTGGAGAGAGCCGCGGAGACGAAAAGCGGGAATCGGGCAACCGACAGTTCAAGGCAAAGTCAATGACAGTGCCCCAAGATGGAGGTTGGAAGATAGCTGATTTGTACGGTTGTTGGTTTTTACAAATGGACGGGAACCCTT